AAGAGAAAATATATTGGTTTAAAAGGCCATGGGTTAGACTAGCTAATTGGTTGGATTCAATCTTTTAGTATGGTTTGGCCTATCTGCATTATAGCCTAGCTTAGTTTCTAACATGGTATCAGAACATGTTCGGTTGAGTGACCGTAGCCCAATCTTAGTTTCTAACAGTATCCATTTGTTTTTGCGATCTTCTATCTAGATACTGGTTGTCAAGGAAAAGAGTGGAAAATTCCGTGGAACTGGTCTTTGGAAGTTCCCTACAGGAGTTGTTGATGAGGTATGTGAAATTGGGTAGTTGTACACTTTTTAAGGGGAGCTAAAATGGAAAAAAAAAAAAAAAAAAAAAAAGAGGACAGCTTGAGCTGGTATAAAAGGGAAAATGTAAAGCTGGGTCGTTGGCATTGAAGTTTTCTGTTTCTTTATTCCCAGGGTGAAGATATATGTAATGCAGCTGTCCGAGAAGTAAAAGAAGAGACCGGGGTGAGTAATTAGTCCGAAGCGCATTCTTTTAATAATCTTGGTCAATTACAAATTTAACGTTACATCTGACCTAACTTTTATATTCAATATTGTGTTTCTTGCTTCAGATAGACGCAAAATTTGTGGAGATACTAGCTTTCAGGTATCTGTTTACCTTCATGCCGATCCTCATTTTATCACATTCTTAACACCGGGCTGTTCATATAGTCACAAGTTAGGGTGTGTTTGGTTCATGGGGTTAGACACAATGAATGTGAATGAAAGTCAGACACATTGTTTGAATGTTTGGTTTGGTTGACAACTTTTTTAAACACAGGTATAGGATTTGATTACCTCTATAATTAAAAAACTCATTACCTAATTAAAATCAGGTATCATTCCATTAATTCAGCCTTGTCCATCCTCATTTCATCGCCTCCTCACTACATAGGATTAGTGCTTTTAGATTTTTGTTTTGATTTTTTGTTCATATTTTTAAAACCTTTATTCCAATTATAGGGTCATGTATAATCAAATAACAATATTGGTAATCATTCCACTTCCAACCTACTACCAAACATGCAAAATACTTTCACCAAAACTCATTCCAATTATCAAGTATTTGATTCCAATTCCGATTCCGATTCCTTGTACTAACTAAACACAAGTCAATTTTGGAACTTGCAAATTCTCCATTCCTTAAAAATATATATTTTTCTTTCAAATTTCAGACAGAGTCACAAGTCGTTTTTTGAGAAGTCAGATCTATTCTTTGTGTGCATGCTGCAACCACTATCCTTCAATATTAGAATTCAGGAACAAGAGATAGAGGCAGCCCAGGTATGTCTAAAATAAAATGTTCTTTCTGGTTAATCAGTTGTCAAGTTATTCATGTCTAATGTGCTCATTGAATTCAGTTTCTTTGGCTAGATTTAGTCCTCGACTAGGATTGAATCTGGCAATGTGGTCAAATTAAAATGGTAGGATACTAGGATTAAATGCGAAAATATCACCATTGTCTATGACAATTATCTGAAGTAACCCTTTCAGATTGTTAATTATCTTGCATTTATAAAGTAATAGGAAAAATGGCCAAATAGGCCACTGAACCAGATACCAAAGCCCAATTGAGCCACTGAACCAGATACCAAAGCCCAATTGAGCCACTGATTCAAAAATGAGTTAAATTAAACCACTCAACATTCACTGATTCACATGGTTGGCGTGGTGGTTCAGCACCTCGTCCCTTAAGCATGAGGTTGGGGGTTCGATCCCCACCCATGTGAATGGAGCAAACCATTTGGCCAGTCCCCTACCACTTAGTGCCCTGACAGTAGGGACGGGGATTAGTCTTCTGGCTACTGGCTGGAGGGATACCTTTGGGCATTCAGAAGTCATCCAATTTTACCATATAACTGGTTGTTCCAGGTTCATGCAGCTAATTCTTGAGTGGTTCATGAAAAGTTAATTTTTGGGGGTAACCTTAGTCAAGATGGCAAGAGATCCACGCTTGTAACTACAAGGTCACAAGTTCGAATCCTTGTCCCCTTGGTTTGAGGCGGTTAGCTAGGGTCACAAGGCGGGATTTACTCATGCTCAAAAGGGTTGTGGGGTTCCCCTCGTTATCCAAGAAAGTATTTCTACATCATATGCCAACAACTCTTATTTAACTTGCATGAACCTAAAACAATCGGTTATATGGAAAAAATTGGATGACTTTTGAATGTTGAGTGGTTTAACTGAACTTTTTTTTTTTTTTTGATTCAGTGGCTCAATTGGGCTTTGGTCTCTGATTCAGTGGCCTATTTGGCCCTTTTTTCTAAGTAATATATTGTATCGTATAGTCGTATTATCGAGAAAAAAGAAGGTTGGTGTGAGTGGACTTAAGAATTGTTCCATAATGCAGTGGATTCCATATGAAGAATATGCATCTCAGCCATTCATCCAAAAACATGAGCTGCTCAAGTACATTGCTAATATATGCTCAGCAAAGATACAGGGCAAGTATTCTGGGTTCTCGGCTGTCTCCACAGTAACCGGATTTTCTCAGAAGGAAAGCTACTTGTACTTGAACAAGGAGCCCCATGGTGACTTTCCATGGGAAGTTTTGAGTTAAGTCATTTTTTTGGTAACAAAAGAACATATGGAGGAATGATTTTATTAGGGTTTTCTTATCCCTATTTTTTGAAGAATGGTTTATTTACTGAATTAATATTTGATATACTATCTGTGTATAAGAGCATCCCCAATAGTTGTAGTTTTTGAGGAGTTTTTGCAAGTGTGATTAGGAAAGAGAAGATTGGAGGGAAGAGAGAAAGGAAAAAAAAAAAAAGCAAAACAAAGCTGAAAAAAGAGAGGAGAAAAGCGTCATTAACGTGCCCAGCGGGCTCGTGACAACCTGTTTTTCTTGGTGGGTCTTACAATTCTGATAAAAACCAATGCTTTGTAGGGATTTTTTTTTTTTTTTTTTTTTTTAAACTTTCTCCTCACCCTCTCTCCTCCACATAAATCTTGTTCTGTCAAAATCTACATCAAAAACTTCTATTGGGGAGGATTGCCTAACAACAAATAAATAATATATTCTTTAATTAAATGTATTTATTTAACGAACAAACTTAATGTCACCTGGGTATTTTTCATGAATGTTGACCAGTTTATTTTGGAGGTGAATTAGTTGTGTTTTCTTCTGTATTTTCAGTTTTTATTAGTCAAAAATATAAAATAGTGGGAAATGTGTTGTAAATGTATGCATGTTAAGTTTCAATAAAATTCTTCTTTTCTTTCTTCATTTTCTCTCTCAAAGTTCTTCATCCCTCTTTGATTCTCTGCTACTCCACATGTTCTTCTATTATTCCTGTTTTTTTGAATTTCTAAATCTTCTTTCTGTTCTTAGCTCAATATTTGAGAATTGTTAAATCTATTCTGGTGCTTTTCATAAATGAGTCTTAGGTTTCTCATTCATTACTCTGGTTTTTAAGAGGAGAGAGGGAGGTGATATATATATATATATATATATATATATATATATATATATATATATATATATAATTTTCATATATTGTCCGGATATACGATTATTGATTAAGTTACTGCAGAGCTTACGAAAGAATTTTACGTATTTAAAAATCTGAAGTTACTCACTTGATGAATTTGTCATAAAAGTAACCTGAGAAATTTGATATCTTCTTGTATTTCAAAAGTTATGGTTTGATTACTACGGAGTATTATGTTTAGTAAGGGAAATCAGAAACTTTTAGGATGACATGTTTTACATGCTTGAAGACAATGATTAATGTTTTCTTGTTTGTACTGAGTCACAGGTTCCTTATACGAGACTCCGGTTATTAACAAGTCATACCAATATTATTGAATTGCTTTTGAAATTGAAGAACATTAAATAGAATGCTAGGAAGTTGAAAATAATGTTGCAAAAGTGGTTTCAATATAAGAAAGGGAATAAAATGTGAATTTCCTACTTTACCCCTAAAATTTTAAATATTTTTAAAAATTTTCATCAGTTTTAACGGACGGGGATCAAATGCGCCACTTCGCTGAGGAACTAAAAATAGATACGGTCATAACTCAGGAACTGAGTCGTCACTACCATTATAACTCAGGGACCAAACTCGCCATTTTCCCTAATAAATATTAATATTTTGTTCAATACTTTCACATGATAACCTACGACATACATCTTATAACGCTTGAAACATGTAGATGAAAAACTATCATTACCAAATATCAATAGGTGCTTGTAAGATAAAAAGTTAATAGTACAACTAAGATCCCATCATATACACAACAAGGCAAATTTAAAGATTCCTACACCATAATCTCATTGCACAATGAATCCATCTATGATACCACTATTAACCCAATTGCACATGACACACTACCCATTAAAAAAAGAGGATATGTGCTGAAGATGAAGAGAATGACAATGCTTTCGAAAAGAGAATTAAGAAGAATTATAGAAATTTAAACCAAAGGTAGTATTTATTTAGATTATCGTTTTTAGACTAGCGTTATTACAAAGTTGCAAACATTTATTTTAGTGACAATATAATCAATTTCTCATATATTATCTTGCATTTTATATACTTTAAATTACCGATTTAAATAAACAAATTCAATATTTATTTACCTATACATAAACATCTCCGATATAATATTGCATTGATATAATTTAAAATATTTATTTAAAATAATCATTAGACATTATTATATTCAGGCAAAGCCCCTAAAAGAACTAGTATTATATATAAAATTGGTTATGACTCATTTTTATTATATCAAGAATTGAGTCCATTGAAAGGTTGAGACAGATAGTTATAATAGATTTTCCATACTACTACCAACCCCGCACATACCCAAGGCCCTCTCCCTATACTGTCTCCTTGTAGATGCTTTGTTATAAGGTCAAATTGTGTATTTCCCTCCCAAAACACTTCTTGTCTTTCTTCAATCTCTAATCTTTTACTCCTCAGCTCGCTTCTTTAACTGTGCGTCTCTCTCTCATCAGCATTCAGCAGTAGGGGGCAATGGAGAATTTCAATCCAAAAAGCGTGAACGAGGTTTTCTTACAATTCAAGGGTCGAAGGACGGCCTTACTCAGCGCTCTCACTAAGGGTACGTATTACTAAATCTAAAGAAACCATTATTACTTCATTTATTTCTACCACTTAATAAAGGAATGAATGGGGTTTTTCTTTATGCGTTTTTCCAGATTTTGATGAAGTTTATAGGCAGTGTGACCCAGGTAAACCTTTCTTTTTTCTCTTCTTGTGCTTCTTTGAAATAATCTTTTCTTTGAAACAGTCCAAATTAAGCCTTGATGAACAAACATTCACGTTCTTGATTATATTTTTTTAGTAATTAGGCTCTTCAGATTTGCATATATTTTGATATGCATGATAATTCCTTGAATATATATATATATATATATATATATATATAATGCATGCATGGAAATTAAGAATTGAAATGTGTTAAGTTTGGGGTTGTAATTGCAGCTCAGAATTGGAAGCTTTGCCTTATTGGACATCCGGGTGAACGATGGGAAGTGAATATTGCAGAAGAAGAAATGCATGTAGTGCTTCCTCAACCCCTTAGGGGCATTAACTTTGGTCGAGATAGAATGGACAAAAGGGAGTGGCTTACTATGCTTGCACTTCACAGTGACACATGGCTACTTCGTGTTGCATTCAATTTTAGTTCAAGATTTCGCCATGACAAGGCTGATAGGTATGTTTTTTTTTTTTTTTGATATATATATTGAAAAGGGGAAGGATTGAATGAACTAATTTGATAAATTTTCACTATTACAGGAGTCGGCTTTTCGATATGATAAATGAACTCCCTACCATTTTAGAAGTTGTGTCTGGGAAAGCTGTGGAACCACCAAAACACAACCCAAAACTGCGCAATGATGACAGCAATAAGCCAAAGGTATATATTAGATTGAGGGGTATTTGGTAAATGGTTTTTAGCTGATTGTGTTAGTAGGTTTAACTAGTTGATGATAGCATTAGCTGATCGTAGAAAAGTGTTTGGAAATTAGCTTTTAACTGTTAGCTGATTATATAAAACTGTCTTTTTTAAAAAGCTGATTGAAAAAGATACTTTGAGTAGATTTTTTAATTTTAGCATTTTGGAGCAATAAGTTGTTACAAAAAGCTAATTAATCAAACAATCATATTGATTGTTTAACCAAGTCAAACAGCTAATAGTGGTCAAATAAGTCAAAATTGACTGATAGGGCTAACTATTTTACCAAATAGGGTTGAGTGTGGGTGTAGTGCCCAATAATCGGGTTCAAATTTCAATGGGATACGATCTTAGCTTGGAAAAAGAAGCAAAGTCTAAGGCACATTTCGAGATTTATCTCTTCTCATAATAGGGGGTGAGGGGTCATTTGGTTTAGGGTTTAAATTTATATTAGTGATGAAATGTTTTTGTTTATATGTTTGTTTTGGATTTCAGAGAAAGTGGCCAACACCACCGCCAGTAAATGTGTGTGGAAAATGCAATGAGGGGTATATAGTAGGTGAGTTGTGGAAACAGTGTTTCGTATGCGAAGGCTCTTTCCATTTGATGAAATGCCTCAAATTCACCAAGGACCAGCATCGTCACCTGTTTGTATGTTCTTCATGTGCACTCCAACCAGAAATATTTACACAAAAATAGGAGAATATTATTATATTGTAGGTATTATATATATCCAATTCAAACAAGTATAGAATTTTTCAAAGATGAACAAAAATAAGGAAAAAAAAAAACGATTTTATTTGATGCCTTTCGAGTGTCCAGTTTGATTGGATATGTTTACTATGGGTCGTTATATTGTGGACCGCGGTGCACATGCACCGGGGTCAAGACGGCACCGTTTCTTTACTTAAAGAAACGGCGCGCCGTTAGTGTTAACGGAGCGCACATATTTTTTTTTTAATGTTAATTACCAACTGACACTACAGTATATCTAAATCGACACTGGCCTCACGTATTATTTTTATATTATCAAATGAAACTGCAGTTATATCAAAATGATACTGTAGTTGTGGTGAAATGAAACTGCAGTGTATATAAAACGAAACTGGATAACATTTTACATATTTGAGTGTATATTGTACAATGAAGCTGTAATTATATCAAAATGATGATGTAGTTGTGTTTTAATAAAACTATAGTGTATATAAAATAAAATTAAATAACTAACATTTTCACATATTTGAGTCTATAAATATCGAATGAAACTGTAGTTATATCGAAATGAAACTGCAGTGTATACAAAATGAAACTGAATAACAGAGTTACTTTTTGCGGAGGGGTGCGGAACGACGGGAAACGGATGCCGTTTCTTTTCATTAAACAAAACGACGTCATTTTCATTAAACCGCGGAACGATTATGCACCGCGGTGCACGATATAATTTTCCGTTTACTATTCATTGTCAAATTAACTCTTATTTTTTTTTTTTACTAAAAATGGACATATAACAAACTGAGGCCTTTCTCTTCAAGATACCCATTTGCTTAAGAAATGGATTTGAATATCCAATGTTATACTAGGTTCTATATGGTCTGCAACCATATACAGCCAGTCCATCTTTTGCATCTCATCTCTAAGATCTGCAGACTCATACTCAACTGGTAACTTGACTTGCCATTGTTCACTGGGATGCTTAAAGATATGGAAGAAAATAATATTGATTGGAAAATGAAAATACAAATCTGAAAAGTTAATTAAATCACAAGTAAAGTACTGCAGAGATAAATCGTGAGTTACTTAACTGGTCAGACCGTAGTCTTCGGCAAATTATGCTGTGCATCCGTATGCACCATACATGGTGCATACGGATGCAAAAACGACGTCGTTTTATTAAAAAAGCGCGTCTCCCCTTAAAAAAAAAAATCAGGTTCGATTCTCAGCAACAACATATGAACTAAAATTCCAGAATCGATGAACTATAATTCCAGAATCTATGAACTAAAATTCCAGAATCTAATCTATGAACTAAAAATTCCAGAATGAATGAACTAAAATTCCAGAATCTATGAACTAAAATTTCAGAATCGATGAACTACAATTCCAGAATCGATGAACTATAATTCCATAATCTATGAACTAAAATTTCATAATCTATGAACTAAAATTCCATAATGAATGAACAACATAATGCTGTTGTTGAGAATCAAACCTGATTTTTTTTTTTTTAAGGGGAGACGCGCGTTTTTAATAAAACGACGTCGTTTTTGCATCCGTATGCACCATGCATGGTGCATACGGATGCACAGCATAACTACTCGTAGTCTTCATGCACACAAAAATATTTTAAGTTTATTAATTAATTTGACCTTTGATAGAGAGAATTTGACTTTTGAGGCAGATTATGTACCTTCAGTAAAATTATGTTGTTGCAGTTAATATATTATGTATCTTTAGTTTATATATATAGATAAATAATCAGTTAATTGGTACATAATAGTTAGGTTAATTTCAGCTACATAATCTGGATTACAACCTACAATGCTCGTACTGGATCTTAGTCTACAATATAATTTGCGAAGGTGTACCGGGTTGGTCTAGTTGGAGGTGATTGAACTATTATATTGAAATATTTAATAATGGAAAAATGATAAGATTCTTGATTTTATTGGGGAAAGAAAAAAATAAATTAATAAAACACGTGGTTCACTTTTGTTAGAATGAATCAAATTAAAGTATGCTAAGTAAATTAATAGAGAGAAGAAAATGAACTAAAAAATGGAGTATGTGTATTATACCACTCTTAATGCGGAAATGATAATGTGAAATGAAATTAAGTGTAAACATTAATTAAAATATGTAATATATTTATAAATATTTTTGTAAACATCTATAAATATTAATTCTCTACTAATATCATAATTAAAATGTTGCATTAATAAATAATTAAATAATACAAAATACATTTAAAACAAGAAATTATTCAACATCCAAATATTTTTAAACTTGAATATTTTACTTAATTAAGCTGTCCACATATTCAATAGCACAATCATGGAACATATAGGGTAAAAGAAAAACAAAGATCAGAAGAACAAAGTAAACTGATTAAAGTTAGTGCTCCAAATTAGGAAAAAAAAACATAGTAGTAACTAATTGCATTTTTAGGTTACTTTCAGTGGCCAATTTGAACCTTATTCCATATTATTATATTCGTGTCATCAAATTCATATTCCAAATAATAAAGTAGATAGGGTTGCAAAATTTAAAAAAATGGTTTGAAATAGTGACGTGATAATTGGATAAGCTATTGGACCTAATTCAAAACAATTTTGGTCTACCTCAAAACAATTAAAAATAACTAACACGGTCAAATAGTAACGATTAGGAACCGAGCAGCGCATGTGAAATGGTGCACTTAATGCAGAGCCAATGCACTTATAAAACACCACATTATTAAGGAGCAACACTCATAGATAGGCAGTGCACTTATGAAGGAGAGCCCAACAATTATTATTGTAGCCGGTATACTTAGTAGCTATATATATACTATAAAAGCTAGACCCTGTAATAGGTGGGGGACACACTCAATCTTGTAGTTTGAACAATTAAGCAAATAACCATTGTTTCCGGCAATATTCTTATCGTCATTAGTGCTCTCGTTGAGAGTATGGGATCAACTCTCTCAAGCAAGCTACAACATACGTTCTTCTTTCTCATCAACAAGCTTTAAGCAATGACATGATCTGGATTAGGCAACTCCCATGGTTTCCATAGCATGCATGAACCCCAATGGCAAACGTAGTGCAAAAGCGCCCGATCGGGAAACTCACGTGATCTCTACGACCAGCTCAATAACAGCCGTGGCAGAGGGCAACATGGACCCGAAGCACTAGCTCCACCTATGGACCTCCAGGCAAGTGTACAAGCTATTCAACATGTAGTAGCGGCACTGACTCACTTGGTGGTAGGGGTGCTAAATCAATTATTGGTTCCCACTGCCGGGCTAGGAATAAGTTGAGGTGATGTCACTACGACAAGAGAGAACCCAATAGTGGGAAGCGACGCGAGTAGTAGATAGCCGACCTCACTCATGAGGAGGAGGGACAGAGGGCTCAAGCCAAGTGCGGGAGGAGGGTGTTCAACGTGGTGGGTTGACTAGATGACCCCCAGCTCCGAGTCAATCCTGGAGCAATTGGGCAAAAGGGCACATGTTTGGGAGAGGTTAGGGCCACAGCTAAGGGCCGATGGGTCATCAACCAAGGAACTAGACTAGAACCATGCTAGAGCAATGGCAGATAGGGGTGAACATTCCAAACACTCAGAGAAAGGTTGAGGATATTCAACGGACAAGTTTGTCGATCTCTATACTAAGTGTAGATAGAGAAAGAGCACCAAGTTTTGAGAAAACATTATGAAGCTAGGCCTGATCGAGCAAGCAATCTAGCTTTGTGATCAAAGTACACATCTTGCTCTCATGTGTAAATTGTTGAAAGAACAAGTTTACTAGTGAGGTCCTTCATGGACGTTAGGAGAAGAAGGGAATAGGCGAGGGATTACACACCACCCTCAAGCCACTAGAAATTAATTCTATGTTCTTAAGTTTAAGCTCTTTACTTACATTATTGGCATATTTCACTGTTAATCACTTACTAATTTTTGAAAATCAAATTAATGCTATGCACTTAAATTCTCATAACCTTGACTATCTAGTTAAGTGTTCAATGTAACCAAATTTGGTAGTGTTGAAAAGTTAACTTACCTAATCAACTTTTCAAATGTCTTTTAAACAAATTTTTAAAATTTTAAGTTTATTCACCCCCTAAACTTTTACATTTCAACCTAGACCATCATTTCGTTTGATTACTCATAGGGATTCAGAGAATGGAGGGGATAAGTACAACATAACTTTAGGAAAATATTCCCTGAATTGAAAATTTCCAAGAAAAATGTTATAGGTATTTAAGACTTTGACGATGTCATGCACTCAAAAGGCATCTATCAAATAAAGTGGTTTTTGTTCAACTTTTAAAAACTGTATACTTTTTTGGGCATACTATATATACTACAACTTCCGCATATAATTTTTTGAGTATACTAAAATATTCTCCTATATGCCAAACACTTTGTGCTCAGATGTCATGTAGTGACCTCTCCTGTGCGGGAGGTCATAAGATCAAGTCTCGGTAGAGACGTTGAATAGATACTATTATATGTAATAGAGTCGGTAGCATTCAAAAAATAATATTCTCATATATATATATAAATTTATGTGTATATACTTCAAAATTTTCCCATTTTTGTGGATGCCCCTGCGGCGAATGGTTTGAGTCCACATGAACAACATACAAATCGCTGATGACGAGGATGCTGATCCTTGTTGAATTTGAGGCATTTCATCAAATGGAAAGAGCTTTTGCATTCCAAACACTGTTTCCACAAGTCACCTACTATATACCCCTCATTGCATCTTCCACACACTACTTGTATTGCCATTTCTTTCCAATCTCTTGCCGGTGGTGTTGGCCACTTTCTCTGAAATCCAAACCAAACATACATACATATATACTCGTATTAAAACAAAAAGATTTCATCACTAATATAAATTTAAATTCTATACCTAACCCCTTATCCTGGGGATTATGAGAAAAGGTAAATCTCAAAATGTGCCTTAATGCAGAATCGGAAGGCTTTGCTTCTTTCCCAAGCTAAGATCCTTTTACCCTACCCCACACTTAATCTAATACATACCTTTAGCTTGTTGTCATCATTGCGCACTTTAGGCTTGTGTCTTGGTGGTTCAACAGCTTTCCCTGACACAACTTCTAAAATGGTAGGAAGTTCATTTATCATATTGAAAAGCCGACTCCTGTAACAGCAGATAGAGCAGTGAAAATTTATCAAATTACTTCATTCAATTCTTTCCCCTTTCAATATATCAAAAACATACCTATCAGCTTTGTCATGGCAAAATCTTGAACTAAAATTGAATGCAACACGAAGTAGCCATGTGTCACTGTGAAGTGCAAGCATAGTGAGCCACTCCCTTTTCTCCATTTTATCTCGACCAAAGTTAATGCCCCTAAGGGGTTGAGGAAGAACTTCATGCATTTCTTCTTCTGCTAAATTCACTTCCCATCGTTCACCCGGATGTCCAATAAGGCAAAGCTTCCAATTCCTTTCTGCCCAAACTTAACACATTTTAGTTGTTTCCATGCATGCATTATATATATATATATATATATATATATATATATATATATATATATATATATATATATATATATATATATTCAAGGAATTATCATATGCAAATCCGAAGAGCCTAAGTACTAAAAAATGTAATCAAGAACGTGAATCTTTATTCATCAAGACTTAATTTGGAATATTGCAAAAGAAAAGATTATTTCAAAGAAGCACAAGAAGAGAAAAAAGAAAGCTTTACCTGGGTCACACTGCCTATAAACTTCATCAAAATCTGGAAAAACGCATAAAGAACAACCCCATTCAATTCCCTTTTATTAAGTGGTAGAAAGAAATGAGGGAAGTAATAATGGTTTGTTTTGATTTAAGTAATACGTACCCTTAGTGAGAGCTGTGAGTAAGGCAGTCCTTCTACCCTTGAATTGTAAGAAAACCT